GTGCAGTGTGAATTAGCCTTAAGAGAGACATTTCCAAATATGAATGATACTTTTGATCAATTAGTTTGTTGACATACAGTTTGATAGGGGGAAAATATGTTGCCAGGTAAACTACAAAAGTGTGCAACATCTAGTAACATCTAAATCAACTGGCTACATTCAAAAATATAATTTAACCATTTAATTCAAAAGTCAAAATTGTATTAAGAGTCATAGGCTACAGGTAGAAATAGCTTAAGTTATTCACTTTTGGTGTGGCAGTAATATGACCCATCCATCTGAGTCACAACATATGTGGTTAAAAAAGGGGGGTTGCAATTCAAAGCTTGGATGGTCCAGCAGTCCACAGGCTGCAGGGGGGATGTCTCTGTAGATAGTGAAGTTTGCCTAATACCATTGGAGGGTGCGAAAACACCTCTTACAAAAACACTTCACACAATCCAATTTAGACTCGACCTCTACACTTTGACAATGCGCTTAATTAGGCGTTGAGGCTCTAAAAGGGGAGGGCTAATAGCGCACTTCTGCTGTAGCCTACTCCAGAAGTTCAACGATACAGCAAAGCCGCATCGGGTCGGGAAACAATGGCCAGACGAAAAGAGAAAGTTTGCTTGTGCATAAGTATTCCGATGATATGTATTATTTTAATTATTATTATTTGCGCGACTCACTTTAACGAGCAGTGTACTGACGGACTTTACAAAAAAGCAGCAGTGGCCGCGGACTCGGAAACCTGCTCAAAGATCGGGCGGTGAGTGATTGCCTTTACTACTTACAGTCTATATGTAGCCTAGTACATTATGAATGCAGTGCACTATGAATTGTGTTACTTTAAATTCAGAAATAGCGTGCTTACGGATGATTCGATTCAACATTTTAGTAAACACTTTCAAATCTAGCATCCAAACTTTTCATTTAAACATGCATAGGCTATTGATGTGGAAGATCATTCTTTCCTGGAAAATGACAACTAGGTTGTCGTAATCCCTGGGACAGGTCAGTTTGAGGACACCAGTGGCTGCTGAGGTGAAACGTCCGGTTAAATGTACACAGAAAGTTTGACGTTAATTAGGTGAAGTATCTTCACAGCCTGATCCTCTTGACAGTCAGCAATCTCTGGCTTCCTCTTCTTGGACAACAGCTAATGATTTAGACCTATAGCGCCAAATTCTTAAGTATACGGTTACTTTTACACTATTTCATGTTTATGTTTACTATAAAGAAGTAAACGATAAAAACTGGTATGTTTTGAGGGGTAAAGT